TTATAGTTTAAGGATATTTAAAAGTTTAAAAACTGTAAATGCTGCATTACATGAGTTTTACAAGTAGTGCTAGAAAACTAAAGAAGGCACTTATTAGCTTGAATAAAGTAACATAAAAGCAAGAATGCTTTAATCTAAAAAAACCCCACCCATAATTCTGCATTATCAGAAAGATTTTTTAATACGAGGAGACACATTGCTCATTAAGGAGTTCAATAAGATAATACCGACCTTTCTTCATCATGTACTGCATTTGTCAGAAATTGCCCTTTTAAAAAGTTTTCCCCTGACATTTTTATTTAGTTTATATCGGATAAAATGTAGTCTAAATTAATCTCCACTTCATATTATGTCAAAACACTGTCTTTATCCTTTGATCACACCAAGTGCTTCAAACACTCCACTCCATGCAACTAAAGGCCGAATATTTCATTAGAGGAAACATATAAATAGGATTTCAGACCATAATCTCAACAAAAGCTACTAAACTAATTTTTTTAAATTTCACTACAAAATCAGTGTGATCCAAAGAGTTGAGTTATACATGATATACAGAATATTATATAATGAACATGTATTGACAAATTGTTGAGTGCATTAAATAGCAACATTTCATTAAAGAGGCTATACTGCTTTACTTATGAAAAACTAGATAGAAAGTGTATGCAGTTCCTAATATCAAGCTACAGTCTTAAAGACAAAGGCATTGAAAGGTTTAGTGTCTAGTATTCACAGAATATTAAGGCAACTAAACTCAAGAGGGTGTTTTGGCAACTTTTAATCTGAGCACAAATAGGGGCTTTGGAAAAATAAGGTTTTAAGAAGGCTTGTCATTTTAGGACCAAATTTTAATGTGTTCACCCAAATTGTTAGATTTTTTCTACTTGTTTGTCTTCGGATTCAACTGATCTCTGACCTCAGTTCCTGCAGCAAAGTCAGGAGCCCCCTTTTATCACAGCCCTTAGAATCTTCTGAGTAGACACCATTCTAAGAACATTGGTTTCATTCTGATTGTCAGAGGAATTACTTCTAACCCCAAAGTTTAGTATACTCATCTCTGCTTGGAAGTACAGAACATGTTTTTTTCTGATTTGGTGACAAAACAGAAGGAAAAATAACCGGTCAAAACTGTTCGTTGAATACTTAATTGATCACCTGAGCTTCTCTCTCTCTCTCTCTCTCTCTCTCTCTCTCTCTCTCTCTCTCGTTGAATACTTAATTGATCACCCGGTTCATAAAACCATACGGGTTTTTAAATAAAATAAAAACTGAATAAATCAGATATGAATAAATAGGAATCTTTGTATGGAACTAAACAAAAAAAAAACAACAAAAACATACAGGTTAAAGTATAAAAATATATTTGGGCTGTAATATCTGTTAGGAAATGGGTATGATGTCCAATGATGAGAATATAGCAGATAAATTTATCATGGCGCTTGGGTGAATTTCTTAGAGCACACTGAATATTGGGGAACTGCTGAAGCTTTCTGAGCAGGGGAGTGCCGTGATCAAAGCAATGCTTTGAAGGATTAGTCTGCCTCAGTACTTGGCACCAGCCCTTACTTGTAGTAAGGTTCCTAGTCATTTGTTGTGGGAGTGGCAGAAAATGAAAGGCCAGTTGAGAGGTTATTTTTGTCCCCTGGGATCAGTAAATATAAAGCTGAGAGTAAACGGTGACAGTGGGAATTAAAAAAAGTGGGGGGAGGGGGATAGATTCCTGAGAAGTTGTGGACAAGGAATGGATAAGGTCTGACAACCTTACTGAGTATAAGCAGAGAAGAAGGAAAAGTCCATAGTGGTCATGTCAGGAGAAGCAGGGCTTTATCCCGATGAAAATATGCAGCAATCTGGTGGAAGTGTCAGGTACTAGCCTGAGTGTGTGTGTGGGGAATCACCTTTGTGTAAATGGTAGTTGAAACCTTGGAATAAAGAGGAAGCAGAAAACAAAAGGACTGAGCTCACCACCTTGGGCAAGGCTGCAATAATGGGTGAGGGGAGGCAGAGTAAACAGCAGTTGGGAAGGTGGGAAGAGAATTAGAACTCAGTTTATTTATTTTATTTTTTAAACAGATTTTATTAATTTTTTTACAGAGAGGGAGAGGGATAGAGAGTTAGAAACATCGATCAGCTGCCTCCTGCACACTCCCTACTGGGGATGTGCCCGCAACCAAGGTACATGCCCTTGACCGGAATCGAACCTGGGGCCCTTGAGTCCCCAGGCTGACGCTCTATCCACTGAGCCAAGCCGGTTAGGGCTAGAACTCAGTTAAAAGAAACTGAGGAAGGAGAGAATTTCAAAATTGAGGGAGTTAATTATCTGTCCAACCCCAATAGAAAAGCTAAGGAGGATTGTGCAGGAGTTATTGTGCAGGTTGAGAATTCTTAGAGCAGATGGGGTTGGGTTTATGTAGCGGAATTGGGGTGAGGGGCATTTAATGCATTAATGAATTGCATTTATTGCCTTCTTAATTGGCTTAATTTCATTTTAGTATATCATTATGCTTAGAAGCTTAATTCAGGTTTATCATTTTGTAATTACATTTTTTAAAGGTGAAAAAGAATTATGGCCAGGGGTGATTTTGGTGGGGAGAGAGTATTGAGAACTTTCCATTTTTCATAGTTGAAAATGTTTTTCTTTATTGGTCCTTTTAATTTGAAGCAGTTTGAGTAAATAACATGAGACATGCTTGCTCTTGATAATAAATATAATATGTCTCAGTTGACATGTTGAAAATCCAATTATTAATATTAATTGAGTTTCTCACGGATATTTCTTTAAGAAATACATACACAAACACACATATGTTTTAGCATTTGAAAAGCATATATAAATAACTATGGTTTATAGCAAACAAGGACAATCAGAAAAAAAGGAAAAAGGATAAACTGCTGTGGAAATTCAGAGGAAAGAGAGATTTTCAGCTTTTTCTTTTTTGGTGGGGAAGGGGATTTGGGGGAAAGGCTGTAGCAAGAGGATAGGGGAAAGGTGTTCCATCCAGGTAGAAGAAACCCTGAGTCAAATAGAGTTTGGGGACATTGGGCATTTTTGTTTAGCTGAAATGTGTGCGTGTCATGGTGGGGGAAGGTGCTCGAAAGAAAGTTAGGGAATATGATGGACAGATAGTTTAGTCCCCAGACTTAGAAGATGGCAGGAGCCATTAAAAATTTAGCAGGAAACAAAGAAACAGAATTTCCAGAGGATGAGGCCCACTGCCCTAGAGCTGTGGTCGGCAAACTTTGGCCCCTTGAGTGTGGCTCTTCCTAAGCCTTAGGAGTACCCTAATTAAGTTAATAACAATGTGCCTACCTATATAGTTTAAGTTTAAAAAATTTGGCTCTCAAAAGAAATTTCAATTGTTGTACTGTTGATATTTGGCTCTGTTGACTAATGAGTTTGCTGACCACTGACCTAGCTGATGCATTATAAAAATGACTCTTGTCATTTGAAATTTTAATAAGCATTCAGAGCTTATGTTATCAACAAAAAATGATAACGGTAACAGAAAGATGTGTCTAATAGTACTATTTAGGTTGGATTAGAAAGTGAAAATGTTGATGGAGATAAGGAAACCAATGAGGGGGAGGAGATTTATGCAATACTTACAATATGAGTAAACCACAATCTTTGATGTCTGCTCTTTTGAAACAGTCATTAGTATTAAGTAGTATATTATTTTATGGGTTAAGTTCTTTTTGCTGTAAGTTTTGGCTTAAGTAGAAAAGGGAGCATTGAGGTCATTGGGATGTCTTGCACAAACTCAAGGCAGATAAGGTTCTGTAGTTGGACCTCAGAAAGTTCTAGAGCCAGGAGCTAAAAAAATACTGGTAAGCCTCCCTTCCCTGTTCTCTCCCTACTCTGTTTCTGAGGGCATTCACTGGATTCTTTTTCATTTATAAACTTTATCTCACTAGTCTAAGCTGAAGTTGGAAAAGGGCCTTTCTCAGCTCCTATATAATAGCTACCAGGAGAAAGAGACTGAGTGACCCTTGCTCATGGTTTTAGTTCTCAGGGACAGGACTTTGATTTTATTGTGCTCAAAGATGAACTTATTTTTATCATTTTATAGCCAGTGCCAATCAACTACATGGCTAGGAGAGTATAAATACACTGTGGGAATTTACTTCTCTAGATCAGAAGGTTAGTTAAGAGATGTCATTATAAGTTAGGCAGAAATCCCAAATGGTGTTTACTATAATTATGCACTTTGAGTTTTTACTGATCTTGAATGTATTGGTTGAAAGCAGACTACATTAAATTTAGAAAAGTAATATGAAAATCGTGTAGAAATTTCCCCCCAATAAGGTACAGACTGTGTTTAACTTGAACCTTAATAAAACGAGTTACCCTTGTGGGAGTGTGGGGTGTATGGACAGAGGAGACAAGTGCTGGGGTGCTGGAAATGTTCTGTATCTTGATCTGGGTAGTATAGTGATTACATAGGTTTAAAAGCATGTGTCAAAATTAAAATGTGTGCGCTTGATATATGCAAGCAGTATCTCAAGCAAAAAGCCTAGGCAAAGATGACTTGTTTGATTTCTCTGCCTTGCCTTGTCTTATAGATGCCTCTTATCATCGGAAATCAATTAAGTTCCCTTTTATTTCAGATAGATGTGTTTTGTTTTGTTTTGTTTTGTTTTTTAAGTCCTTCCTGAGGAGAGAGTGGACAGGAGGGGAGATGCGAGAGAGAGGGTGGGGAAACATTGATGTGAGAGAGACTCATCGATTGGTTGCCTGCTATGTGCCCCTGACCAGGAGCTAGGGATTGAACTTGCAACTCAGGTACGTTTCCTTGACCAGGAATCAAACCCACAACCCTTTAGTCCAAGGGCCGACACTCTAACCACTGTGCAAACTGGCCAGGGCTAGGTATATATGTTTTTGATAGATGTTCATCTGTGACATACTTACGAGTGTTTCAGAAATGTAAATATGGTGCATTTTAAATACATGATATAATAAAAGTAATACTTGGTTTACTTTTCCCCCCCTAATTTAGGAGCTGTGACTGATGAAAATTAAAGGCCATGGATGAAGATGGACTTGAATTACAACCACAAGAGCCAAACTCATTTTTTGCTGCAACAGGTATAACTATTTGGGTTGCTCTATTTTCCAACTACCAGATTTGGAGTTGGTTATTGAGTGGACAAATTGCTAGGCTCTCACATTGATATTCACACTTAGGTATCTTGTGTCAAGTCTACAAATATTAAAGTGAGCCCATTGTTCTCCTCCTTAAAAATTTGGCTCCCCTACAACCAACTCTTAAATTTTTGTCAGTAACAGCATCAGTATCAAAACCTCAGTGTTATCCTCAGGTACTCTCATCTTGCCCAGTTAGAGCACTAAGTCCTGTTAGTTTTCTCTTTGAAAATGTTGCTAATATTTACTTCCCACCACATAGGCAGGCTCTATCATCTCATTCCTAGTCTGCAATAACTTTGAAGTTATTCTTTTTCTTGTCCTTAGTCTCTCTTTAAAAAAAGAAATATTTTATTGGTTTTAAAGAGGGAAGGTGGGAGGGAGAGAGAAAGACATCAATGTGAGAGAGCCACATCGACTGGTTGCCTCTCTCATATGGCCCAACTAGGGAGTGAACCCCTAACTCAGGTATGTGCCCTTGACTGGGAATGGAACCTGAGACCCTTCAGTGCGTGGACTGACACTCTAACCACTGAGAACACAGACCAGAGTGAACTAGCAACCTTTTGGTGCATGGATGACACTCAACCAGTTGAGCCACACACCGGCCAGGGCCTTAGTTTCTTTTATATAGTCCCCCAGCCAGAGTACTCATCGTAAAGTAACACATGGATCATGTAATTTCTTTGTTTTCCATTACCCAGCAGTTAAATTATAAACCTCAGGCCCTCCACATTCTGACCCCATCCTACTTTTACAGCCTATCTTTCACAGGTTGAGAAGAGGAGCCTTTTGCTTCAGGAAGACAGTCTTACCCCACTCTCCAAACTGTACAAGGAAAATTAAGTTCATGAAGTTTTAAAAATAGAAAAAAATTATTCATAATTTTAGGTTATCCATCATTCCAATTACATAACATCGTAAAGTGATTACACTAGGTTTTATGATATAAGATGGTTTTATATCACACTAGCTAGCTACCCTTATAAATAAAATATTAATGAGTTTTCCATTGGGCTTAAAATGATCATATTGCAGTATATTAAAGAAGTAGCAATTAACTATATCAGGAAATTCAATATTAGTGGTTTTTAATTTTCACTTCTTTAATCTCTAAATCCAGTGTGTGTATGTGTTGGAGGGGTATGTTTATTTTTCTTAACAATTTAGAATAGTCTTTGACTCAAGTTTGGTAATTTCAATTTGATAATAAATGCAGTTATAATTCTTCTTTTATTAGAACATGTATAATTAATGTGCTTGAAAGAGAAAGAAGCTCTTTGAGGAAAAATGTACAGTATTTGCTAGCTTAATCTTGTCATGAGCAATCCTGGGTCATGGGCTAAGTGGTAGATTGAAGGGCTATTTCATTTTAGCCCTGGTTGTTAACACTTATGGTGTTTGTTTATCTTTGAGCAAGTCACTTAATCTGCCAGGGCCTCCATTTTCATTTGTCCTAATAATAATGAAACCTCTCATTACAGTTTTTCAGAATACTTCCCATACATTTCCCATTTGATCTTCACAACAGTCCTGTGAGGTATGCATGGCAGATACTACTATCCTCATTTTACTGATGAGGAAACCGAAACTCAGAGGTTAAATGACTTGCCCAAGGTCACAAAACTAATAAGTGTCTAAACCCTGTTCTCTGGTTTAGATTTTTTAACTATTGCTCTTGCCACTAAATGCTTTCATCTTTATATCTGTAAAATGGAGATTATAGTGATCTATTGCTTGATGTTAACATTGAGAATATTGAAAACAAAGGAGTATAAAAGCACTTAGTAGAAGTTCTATAGAAAATAAAGCAAACACTTTTTATTCTAGATGTAACTAAAATAGCTATTAATTGGTTTCAAGATTTCCTACGTTTTTAAAGGTTCTTTGACCTCTGTTGATCATTTGTGTTTGTTAAACAAAATCAGGCGTCTCTTTGAGGGCCTGGCCAGTGATACACAGTCATTGAGTTAGGCAGCTGCTTAGATTCAGCCTGATCTGAGTCACATCCAGAATCACTAATTAAAATTAATTGCTTTTTAACTAAGATTTTTATAAAACCTCATTTGCTTTTCTCTGGAGTAGGAGCCAAGATACCAGATTTGTTTTATTGTATTTTATGTGTTTTGACAAGGATATCTGATTTGGAGTCCCATTTGTGGCATTTATTCAGAGTAATATTTACTGAGTACCATAATCTGTACAAATGTGTGATCTTGGTGAAGTCATTTAATCTCACTGGGCTTTAATTGATTCAACCCTGTACCTTTATTCTTAACTGCAGAGTGGACTAGAGTAGTGTTTCTTATACTCTGAGGCACTGCCTGGGGCATTAGGGTATGGGGCGATGCAAGGAGGCTGGATGGAGGCAGAGTACCCTGGTGAAGTTGGGGTAGGCCCCGCTCCAACTAACCTCACCCTCTACTGCTCCAGAGCAGTTGCACTTTTATTCATCTTATCTATTCACAGAGGCTCCTTAACTAGTTGCCTTTCCTCTAGCTGTGGCTTTTTGTTGTTGTTGACAGTATTACAGATGTCTCCCCCATTTTCCACTTTTGCCCCCTCCACCCAGCCCCCGCCCTAGCCCTCTTTTATTTATGCCCCAGTCCTTTCATATCTTAGATTCAGAGGATAATTTCTAAATTTCCATAGTCATAAATGTAGGATATTGATGAGATATTATATCAGAACAAAGGGGGAAAGGGGAGAAAAATGGAAGGGAACTAAAAAATACATGGGAGAGATGGAAAGAAGATAAAGTATTAGTTGAGGGAGAGATGGAGCAAGATGAAAGAGATGAAAAACACATAATAAAGGAAAGTGGTGTATTTGCCACCTGAAGTTGCTTTACTTATTAATTTTTATAATCATCCCTTAAGTATATGCATATGGATTTAATTTTCGTGAGCCTAGAATTTTACTTTCCTGAACATTTTTATTTTGTGACTGCCTCAATTGCTTGGTTTTTCTATTTTCTTATCAATTGATTTGGAATGAGTATAAAAAGTTCTTAATATTAAAATTTTTCATTTCTGATATTCAAAAATAGATTCCCTTTTAATTTTTTAATCTATATGAATGTTTGAGAAAACTGAGGAACTAGTCTGTTTTCCTGGTAGAAATTAAATAACATTTACATTAGCTGAGGCAGTCATACATGCCTACTTGAAATTGTGCTTTTAAATTTTTTTGTTTTAAAGGAACTGATGCTGCACACATGGATGGTGATCAAATTGTTGTGGAAGTTCAAGAAACCGTTTTTGTTTCAGATGTTGTGGATTCAGACATAACTGTGCATAACTTTGTCCCTGATGACCCAGACTCAGTTGTAATCCAAGATGTTATCGAGGACGTTGTTATAGAAGATGTTCAGTGCCCAGATATCATGGAAGAATCAGATGTATCTGAAACGGTCATCATTCCTGAGCAAGTGCTGGACTCAGATGTAACTGAAGAAGTTTCTTTAGAACATTGCACAGTCCCAGATGATGTTTTAGCTTCCGATATTACTTCATCAATGTCTATACCAGAGCACGTCTTGACAAGTGAATCTATACATGTGTCTGACGTTGGACACGTTGAGCATGTGGTTCATGATAGTGTAGTTGAGGCCGAAATTGTCACTGATCCTCTGACAACGGATGTAGTTTCAGAAGAAGTGTTGGTAGCAGATTGTGCCTCGGAAGCAGTCATAGATGCCAATGGGATCCCTGTGGACCAGCAAGATGATGACAAGAACAACTGTGAGGACTACCTTATGATTTCCTGTAAGTCTTGGGGTACAGTGATTCTCAAAAGTATTTTTGAAGGCTGTCTTTCCTAACTTACATCAGAGATGAAAATTTCTTGACTTCTAAAAAAGTAAATCTCATAAGCCTTCCTGCATTATTGTTTCAGTTTGGAGCCTGTAAGATAACTCAAAATTAAGAAAAGTAAAATTGTACAGATTAAAGCATCTTTTCTCTCATAAGGACACAATAGAAAGATGAAATTTCTTCAGTCTAGAAAGACAAAGACGGGAAGGAATAGAACTGAACTTTGAAATCATGAAGGATGTGATTAGGCTGTTACCAGCCTTTATTAGAATTAGGAACGCTATTGAAACGTAAAAGGAGTTTAAATTGGAAAACAATGTATAACCAAAATACGTATATTCTTGTATATGCATGTATGTTAGTACTTATGTAATACTTATATGCTTATGTAAAATACTACTTATATAATAGATAGCTTGGGAAAAGGCTCTGGTATAGCATTGAAACAAATGATTCTAAAACATGATTTTAAGTATGATGGACTCAGGTTATTAAAGAAAAGTAAGGTGTTTTGGAGCACACCTCTAAATGTTTAACATCTGGGAGGATAACTGTGTCTTCTTACACATATTTCTTGGCATTGCTTTCAGAGATCAAGTCCTCAGTTGGCTAGGCCACAGCTCTGACCCAGTATGGAAATTAGCATGCCTTTAGGAACTAAACGTCAAATAAATAAGGACCCACTATTTTTAAATTATATATATTTTTATTGATTTCAGAGAGGAAGGGAGAAGGAGAGGGAGAGAGAGAAACATCAGTGATGGAGAATCATTGATCAGCTACCTCCTGCACCCTCCCTACTCGGGACTGAGCCTACAACCCGGGCATATGCCCTGACCAGGGAATCGAACCTCGACCTCCTGGTTCATAGGTCAGTGCTCAACCACTGAGCCATGCTGGCTGGGCTAACTCTTACATTTAGACTTTTGATCCATTTTGAGTTTATTTTTATATATGGTGTGAGGTCACGAGCTAACTACTCTCTCTGGCACATCGATATTCAGTTGTCACAGCACCATTTGTTGAAATGGTGTTCTTTACTCATTGAATAGTCTTGGTACCCTTATTGAAACAAATTCTTTAAAATTTTATCTATTGATTTTTTTGTTTGTTTGTTTTTTTGTTTAGGGAGAGAGGAAGGGAGACAGACACAGACATCAGTTTGTTTTTCCACTTATTTATGCATTCAGTGGTTGGTTCTTATATGTGCCCTGACCAGGCATGGGACCTGTAACCTTGGTGTTATCAGGATGACACTCTAACCAGCTGAGCTACCCAGCCAGGGTCGTATTGAAAATAATTGATAATAAATGTGAGGGGTTAATTTTTGGACTCTTAATTCTATTCCATGGATCTGCTCATCCTTATACTAGTTTTATGCTGTCAGGAGTGGGTAGTGAATTTGCAAAATTTACTACCCTAAATATTAAAGTCTAAAACTTAAAGCCCAGGCAAAAATGCATAGTTCAGTTTTAAAAGGATTAGCAGAATTAATAAGCAGTGGCAACATAATGCATTCTTATGGAAGACTAGGGTACTTGGTGTGCCTACCTTTTATAGTAACATCAAAGGAAACAACTAATACGCCTCTGGAGCATGGGGTTCCCTTCTGCCAAAAACCTGGGCCAGAGAGCCTCTATTCTAATATAAACCAATATGATGCTTCATTTCTAATACACATTTTAATAAAATATTACTTTGTTATTTTAAACAGTTTTTAAAAAGACATTAAAAATTATAGCAAATAAATATATATTTTTTGTTAAGCCTCACCTGAGGTTATTTTTTCCCATTGATTTTTTTAGAGAGAGTGGAGCGGGGGCAAGGGGAGGGAGATGTAAGAGAGAGACAGAGAAACATCAATGTGAGAGAGACACTTCAATCAAACCTGCAACCCAGGTACATGTTCTTGACCGGAATCGAGCCCATGATCCTTCAGTGTGTGGCTGACGCTCTAACTACTGTGTCATGCCTGCCAGGGCTATAGCAAACAATTTAAGCTTAGAACCCTTTAAACTAGTTGGGTTAAGTGAAAGTATGCCACCATTTTTAACATGTTGATTATAAAATTGGAAATTTTACTTTGTATAGACCATAACTTTAATAAAACTTTTGATGTCAGTACTATATCTGTGATCTCTCCATTTAGTTTTTATATTCTAAGGCCACTGACTTTTTCATTAGGATAAAATTGTGTTCAAAACACTATTTTCTACAATATGCAGCTGCTTTTATAAAAACTGAATGTTAATAAATCATTAGGTTGGTTGGTTCTTAACTAATGCTTATTAAACTTTTGGTCTGGTGGCATATATATAATTTAAGTCCATTTGAATTAATATATCGAAGGAAGAGCTCAGGTGGTAATGTGTGCTGAGTGCTTCTAATGACCCTTGAGTCAATTGACATTTTTATCAGAAGATGTAATTAAGTTTATTTGGTGAGGTTTGTTAATAAAGCTCTCTTTTCAGGGGAGAAATTTTATTCCAGCCCTGGCTGGTTTGGCTCAGTGGTAAGAGCGTTGGCCTACAGACAGAAGGGTGATGGGTTTATTCCAGTCAAGGGCAGGTACCTCAGTTGCAGGCTCAATCCCTGCGCATGGGGGAGGCAACCAGTCGGTGTTGTGTCTCTCACATCGGTGTTTCTCTCTCTCTCCCCCTCCCACTCACTTTCTCTAAAAAAATCAGTGGGAAAAGTTTTATTCCAGTGCTTACTAAAAATAAAAATAAAAAAAGAAGAAAACAAAAGCAAGGAAAAAAACTAAAATAAATAAAACAAAATAAAGGAAAAAACCAAGTGTCTACTCCACTCTCATATTGTCTTTTTTTGGTCCATGTGTATATGTATGTGTGTGTAAAGTTAATACTACAACGCAGTAGAGTTTGGGATAAAAGGTGATTATTGGTGGACGGAGGAGGCATATTGAATTTCAGTGATTATTAAAATTTACAATATTCATGAATATCCAATTTTAGGAAATAATTTGGGCAGGAGGCTTACACATTTTCTTAGTTACTCCTTAATAGCAGAAGCCACGGGGACAGCCTCCACACCCTATTCCATTGTTTTTCTACCTAAAAAATTATTTTTTTTCAAATTTATGTTTATATGAGAAAAAAGAATCATCTAAACGATTATTTTTACTCTTGCCTATGTTTACTTTTCTTATGTCTTCACTCAATAACATTTATTAATCAGCCATGATAAACTAGGAATCTTGTTAGCTGTTAGAGATAAACAGTGAAAGTTTCTGGCTTTTTAAGAGTTCACAGTCTTGGAGAGAAGACAGACAGAAATAGGTAATTATATAGTTGAATGTGAAAAGATATAACTGGATATACAAAGTATTTTGGAAGCACTAAGGGAGAAAATGTTGAGATTTTTGGTACACTTGAGTGAGCTAAATGCTATGAAAGTACAAACCAAAGTTCTGTGGGAGCTTGGCTGAAAATATAACTAAATTTATTTAATATCTCCTATTCATTTTCCTCCCTCTTTTTTGAAGCAAATCCCACATATTTATTTCATAAGTATTTATCAAAGACAGGGATTATTATTATATTTTTTAAACATAATTTGGGATGAGCTCAATTTGAAGGATGAATAAAATGTTCAGTGGGTACCTAAGGGGGGAGGAATGGCAGAGAACATATTTAAAGGCAGGGAAATGTGGAAGGTCTTTGATTGTTCAGAGACATTTTCTTTGGAGTGCAAATGTCTTTAATGATGAGAATGGAGGAAATGTTGAGAAGTACGAGTCGCAAAATTGGGCACAAATCATAAAGGCCTTTGAATACAATAAGCCTGCTTTACCTTTCTGATGTGGGGAGCTATTAGCGTTGTAAGCCGATTAATAATAATATGCTTAGGGTTATAGTTTACAAAAGTAATCTTCGTGGCAATATTGAGAGCAGACAAGGGAAGACTAAAATTAGAAACAAAAAATATACTGTGAGAGATGATTTAGTAGTTCAGGTAAGAAACAGACGATGCTAGTTTGAAATGAGGTTCTATCAGAGTTTGGCAGAAAGTTACTTCATGACATATTTAGGAAGTGGAATTTGGATTAAAGTTGTGGGGTGGAGGGTTTGAAGCTCCCTGGTTTCTGGCTTGTGCATCTGGGCAGATGGCAAGCCAATTACTAGAGGAGGAATACATTTAGACATGCTAGAGATTTGTCTACAGGATTGCTACATGCAGCTGTCAGCTGTCCAGCCATAGTGGAATGGCACCCTTGCAGATATGGAGCCTAATGGCCCTGGCCTTTTCTAGTTTAGGTGTTTTGACCATTTGGTCTGATGTTAGCTCCTAATTTAGCACAACTTTGGTCATAGTAGACATCCAATAAAAAGTGGTTCAGGGAGTGAATGAATGAATGCAAACCCTTATGTTTAGTGCATGAACTCTGAGGATCAGTACAGTCTAATGGTTTAGAATTGAATTATTCTAGGGGATATTAGCATAGGAGACATGCTAAAGTATTTGCTTATTTCTTTGTCCTACAGGCTGATGGTTTGTATAAATCTTACCATTACTTTTATGTATGTACTCAATTTCATTTTGTACCTTGAAACCATTTGGTAAACCACAGAATAAAATTTTAGAATTTTAAAAATATATCAGTATGGGGATATTTCTGAAATGTGAGAAAAGTCTAATTTAGTGAACTAAGAATATTTTAGAGAAGATGTGTTAAACAAGCTTTAAGCTTGTTCTGATAAAAATTAAAGTTTCTGTTTATCTAAAGTTACTGTGTCTTTACTGTAGGCATTCATATTTATTTAGAAATCAATACTAAAAATTAATGAATTAAGAGTTTTCAGTTTAATCTGATTTCAGTTAGATTTATACCAAGAATAAAGTGCTCAAATAAGGCAAAGATGTGTAGTCCTCCCCTCTCCTTAAAAAAGAGGTGGGGCAAGGGATTGGTAAGCCAGGGAATGGAATTAAAGTTTGAGTAAATTCTAATATAATATTTTTTGTTTAAAAATAGCATGTTACACTATCCAATTTTCACACACGCACACACAAAAAAATCTCTGTCCAGTCTGTCTCCCATTCTTTTAATGCCTAAATATGCCTAGAAATGTCTGAATAATGATCTGTAATTTTTATTGATAGTTCCATGTGGTGGGCTTTTGAGCACATTTTAATTTATTTTTATACTTTTCTTAAATAATAAGCTGTACAATTTTTATAATAAATATGTATATGATTTTAAGCAAAGTTGCAGAAGCACAAAGGAATGGAAATAACATACTAATAACTTCAGGGTACATGGCATAGTCGGGGGGTGCTGGGGAGATTGTGAAGGCAGAAGGCAGTTTGGTCAGAGTTTGGTTGCTAGACTGCAATTTTTATTTTACTTGGTAGGAAATGGGGCACCATTACCTGCTAGAGAGTGAGGTGACTGGATCTTTGTTTTAAGAAAGCTGACCAAGGGCAGTGTCTAAGGGATTTTGGTGTGATGACTCTTTTTACGATGTTAATGTACACAAAATGCAATTCTATAGCAATCTGATACCATATATTTTTCTATCTTGGCAAAAATTATAACGAAATCTGTTTTGAAGCTTTGAGAGGTGAGAATAACAAAACATTATCACCTGTTTTATAAGGTTGTTGTGAGGAGTAAATGGTATATTTTAAGGGTTTAGTATCATGCTTGGCATGTGGTATGAGGTGGGTAAATATTTGGTGTTATTATCACAACCATTGTTAATTCTTATTATATAGATTCTCCATCAAATGTTCTCCAAATCAGCTTCATTTTGCTGATTTTTAAATTAGATCAGTGTTTCTTTATGAAGCAGTTTGCTTGAAGTGGTGTATCCCCTATTCCCCCCACCCCCCAAGTAATTTTTATTTTCAGAAACTACTGAGTTTTCTGAAGTCTTAATGAACTATATTTTTAGACTCCATAGCATCTGTTAGTATTGCAAATAAGCAACCCTTAATTTTTGGTCTTCAGGGATTTTACTGAAGCTCCCTTGAAGCACTATAAAATATGCCTATATTTTGCCATAGTTTTGCTATTAATAATGAGATAATTGCTAAGTCAATTTTTTCTTTAGTTTTACAGTTTAAAACTCTTGGATGAGATACAAAGATTATTATTCCATAAGGCTGGAGGAAAATGTGATGCCAATTTTACTTAAAAGAAAAAAACTGGGAAGGAAATTTACTAAGATAATGATAGAATCTCTGGTTGGTGGGACTATTGTTGATTTTTTTAAAATACTAAATTATATACAGTGAACATAAATTTCTTAAAAAATCAAAAGATGAAAATAAAGATCTGGATTCTAAAGACAGGTACCTCCTCACTCTGTCTCTCACTTCTCACTTATTAGTTCACCTATTTGGGCAAGTCACATACCATCTCAGAGCCTTTATTTCTTTATCTGGAAAAGATGAGAATCAAATAAGTAAAAGTACATAGGAAATGCTAAGGAAATTGTGAAATGCCATGCAAAAGGTAGTTATTATTAGAAGTAGTCTTAATTTTCAGGAATTATGCTCTTCTATTTTGGAGAGATCTATTCTAAAGCTCTAGTTCTTCATTTTACTGCATTAGAAGAAGGTACTTACGCAGAAATCATAGGTATGATGACTCAATTTTATCTGTTTTTAATAAAAATTCATTTTTAATGGTAGCATTAAAATCAGAGTGAAATTTTGAGTAAGAGAACCAGCAAAGTATTTTTTAAAACAAATCACTTCTGTAATATTTCATATTTAGAATAATTTCATAGGTTGAGCTAATGGGGCAAATTCTCAAGGTGAAAATCTGAATTCTACTTTTGTCAAATGGTAGAATAACTTCTTGGCTCCAGTAAGCCTGTATATTTGAAATGTGTTTCTCACACATTTATGAAAACAAACAGAAAAGTCTTTTAGCTCAAGTTATAGGTAAATACATGACATTTTGTAAGCTCAAAAATGATTAGATTTTCCAATCATCAAAGGTTTATCTTATGAGTACTGACAAACCTAGTGTACCCAAAACAGCTAGCCTGACCTTGTTCTGTGTAAACACAAGGGCATTTGATTTTCTAGTACTTGTTAGAATCAGTTTGGACAAACCTTGCCAGAAGAGGCCAAGCTTCATCAACAATATCACCTGGCAGAGATGAGTTCTTTGAAGACATAAATTTATTCAGGTCTTTCCTGCTAGTTTGGTGAGATCTTCATCCTTATAATGTTATTTCAGCTTAAAATTCCAAAGCTTCCTTTAAGAAAATAACATTGGCTCAATCAGCTTGGGTATATCATAAAAATATTTAGCTTTGAAAAAGGGCAGGTACACATCAGGCCAGAAATAAGGACATAATGCTGATTCTTCCCCCCTACAAACCATTTTTATAAAGCATAGTCAAGATACTTGAATATAGGTAGTTATGTTCAGAGTTCAGAGAACCTCTCTTTTTTTAAACTGCAGAGTTTAACCAACTGGCCTCTGACCCTTCATATCATCAAGCTTGTCCTGGATCAACTCATTTTCTCTAGCTTTTTAAGCTCTTAACTCAGTCTGCCATTCTCTCACTGGTAACCAAGTCCTTCCTTCCTGTTTCATATCTTCGGTGAAGCCACCAGTCATGAACTCCTCCAATTTTCTGCATTACAACCTTTCTCCTTTCCCTAAACACAATGTAGCTATGTTCTCATCCACGTTTACCTTCTCATCTCAGAAGTATAGCAAATTTCTCCTATTTAAGGAAAATTCCTTTATCTTTTGAAAAAATATGCTTTTATTGATTTTTTTGAGAGAGAGGGCGGGAGAGGGAGAGAAGCATTGATTGGCCCCCTCCTGCATCCCCCCTACCGGGGATCGAGCCTGCAACCCAGGCATGGGAATCAAAACTGGAGTCCTTTTGTTGCACAGGATCACATTCAGCCAACTGAGTCACACCGGCCAGGGCTCCTTTATCTTTGCACCTAGTTTCGTTTCTGTTTCCCTTTTCCTCTGAGATCTTGATCTATAAATTTCATATCATGTCTGGTTTCAGCCCCTCACTTTCTATTATATTTTCTCCTACAGATTGAGCATACATAAGTATTTTTCTTAAACAGAAAAGTCCTTGACCGTGCAACCCATTCTAGTCACTGCCTCTCTGTTCACGGTAAAATTAGACTTCATAAAGAAATTCATAGCTTCCATTGAATCCTCAACCCACATCTGACCCCATATAGCTTCACCACACCACTTTTCACCAGGAACATCAATGACTTCTAGGTGACTCTGGTCAATGCAGACATTCCTCCTTGAATAATGCATGCTGTATTATTGCCATGGGTCTTACTAGAATTCTCGGAACTTTTAGCTCCCTGGCTTCCTTTATGACTCTCCATCAACCTCTCCAGCTTTCCTTTCTGAACTCTTCTTGTCCCTCCCTTAGACTATGACATTCCCAGGATTTTCTCAGCCCGCTCTTGCCTCATACTGCAGGTTCTCATTCTATGATCTCAAGGCTTGGTTAGCATGGAGCTGATGGGCTCCCAAATCTGTGTGTCAGCCTTCAGCTTTCAGACTGGAATATCCAGCAACTGACTTCACGTCTTAGCCACTCATGAAATCATTGATTCATCAATATTCTGATCATCTATCACCAGACTGTATCTTAAAAGACTGAATAATGAAAATACAGGTTCTACTCTGTCAATGGGAAAGAGAGGTGGAAAACCCCAGATAGTAGCAATATAGTGAATTGTACACTCAGAGAAACAAAGTGTGCTATGAGTACAGAGGGATAGGGACAGACACCAGCTCTGAGAGCTTTCAGAGATGTTATCCCTTGGACCTTAATTAAATTAACATGTAGGAAGAGAGACCCTTTTCCTCATTTCTCTTAACATTTCTTCACCCAGTTGTTTATCACCCAAATCAGAAATGCTATAGTTATCCTTGTCATGTTCAATTTTTAGTTGGGCATCAAGTGCTGCCATTTTAGTTCTAAGATAGGCCTCAAGTCCAGCCCCCTTCCCCATCTGTATTGCCTCTGCCCGATTCGAGGCCTTGGTATCTGTCGCCTGCATTATTGAAGTAGATTCACAAGTGGTATCCTGTTTCATGTCCTAACTCCTTTGGATCCACCTTTCTCAAGGCCAGCATGGTCTAGCAAAAATGGTGGTCTCACCTTGTCGCTGCTTGGCTTCAAAGTGTCCCATCACCTACAGCAGAGGTTCTCAAAATTCTGATCAGAATCTGTAGGGTAGGGTACCTCTTAATCTGTCTATATATCAGGTCCCACCCCTGCAGATTCTGATTCTGTAGAACTGCTGGTTGCTGGCCTTTGTTTCTAAGTTCCCAAAGAGATTTTGACACCTGACAAGATTGAGAAACCACCAGCCAAGGATCAAGTCTGATCTTCTCTGCCTGGTTACACAAGACCCTTTGTGACAGGCTTTAGCTTAGCTATTGGCCACATTTCCCATCATGCTCCACATGTCTACTTGTCTAGGTAAAATTGTTCATTTTTATGTGAATAAAGTTAAAGATTTTATTTGTTAAAAAAGACTTTTGAAAATGCTAACATTTAAATACCTACTAATGTTATTTGTAATGTGTTCCCTGCCTTTTTAGTGGATGATGCTGGCAAAATAGAACATGGTGGTTCCTCTGGAATGACAGAGTCGGAAATTGATCCTTGTAAAGTGGATGGTTCTTGCCCTGAAGTCATCAAGGTGTACATTTTTAAAGCTGACCCTGGAGAGGATGACTTAGGTAAGAGGATACCTTCAACATATTACTTATCCTGATCCAAACACTTCAACCTGATTACTTTTGGGTGGATTAGATTGAGAACATTTGAAACCTTTTCTGAAGATAACTTTTAAGCAAGGTTTCCAGCCCGGCCAGCGTGGCTCAGTGGTTGGGCATCCACCTATGAACGAGGAGGTTGGGGTTCAGTGCCCTGGTTGTGGGCTTAATCCCCAGTAGGGGGTGTGCAGGAGGCAGCTGATCAATGATTCTGTCTCATCATTGATGTTTCTATCTTTCTCCCACTCTCTCTTCCTTTCTGAAATAAATAAAATTATATTTAAGCAAGGTTTCCAATGTAGCAGTAGAAAAGTATGTAAAATGTGATACGTGAAGTAGGAGGAAATGAAGTTTTCTCATAAATTCTTGGAGCTGTCATCTTCCCTAATAGGTGGCACTGTAGACATTGTGGAGAGTGAGCCTGAGAATGACCATGGAGTTGAACTACTTGATCAGAATAACAGTATTCGTGTGCCAAGGGAAAAGATGGTTTATATGACTGTCAATGACTCTCAGCAAGAAGATGAAGACTTAAGTAAGTAGGTGGTCTTTGTGGGAGAAAATTTAATGTTCTTGTAGTTCTTTTTTTAAAAAAACTTTAAATATGGCCCTTGCCGGTTTGGCTCAGTGGACAGAGTGTCAGCCTGTGGACTGAAGGGTCCCAGGTTCGATTCCAGTCAAGGGCACATACCTCGGTTGCAGGCTCCATCCCCAGCCCCAGTCGGGGTGCGTGTGGGAGGCAACCAATCTATGTGTCTCTCACATTGATGTTTCTCTCTCTGTCTCTCCCCCTTTCTTCCACTCTCTCCAAAAATCAATGGAAAAAAATAACCTCAGGTGAGGATTAACAAAAAATAAAAAATTTTAAATATGGCCAATATTTAAAGGAAACAAGTAGCATTATTGTAGAGATTGTTATGCTGCCGTATTGAAGGGAAACACCAATAACTCACGTATTCTCAGAACTTTATTTAAAAATGAATAGTGTCAACAATGAAAAAATGAATTATGGTGAAAACCAAGAAATGAATGATTCATTCAAATATTTGAGTGCTTATATGCGAAAACTATGTTCTAGGTATATAACATTTGAACCTTCTTTCTACTTGTCTATTAATTGAATTCAAATGACAGTATCTTTCCTGTAATCTCTGTAAACCTGGTCACAAAAGTTTATATAATTTTCTACTTAGATGTTGCTGAAATTGCTGATGAAGTTTATATGGAAGTGATCGTAGGAGAAGAGGATGCCGCTGCAGCAGCCGCAGCAGCCGCCGCACACGAACAGCAAATCGATGACAATGAAATCAAAACCTTCATGCCAATAGCGTGGGCAGCAGCTTACGGTAAGTTGCAGAGCAGCTCTTCCAATTGAGTTGGTTCTTGAATGTGAATTCATGCTTGAAAGATGGTTTCTGTGGTTTTAGGTTTCAGAAATCTGAAATGCCAGTACCCTATAATGGTTACTTGATTTGAACAGGAGTAGTGGAAGATTATAAAGTCCACTTTTTGTCTTTGTTTTTAACAAGATTTTTCTTCATGTATATAGCATGTAGAAGGAAGTACTACAAGAAGCACACAGGCTTTCAAGCTGAAACTTGCGTCTTGACTATATCTGTCCCATGCCTTTTCAATTTTGGGAGACAAGAGAGTCCATGGGGCAAAATGCTGACATGTGTTTTTTTAGATTTGGAAGCTCGGCCATTTCTTCCGGTCTTGTTGTAATAAATATGGTCATGAAACCCATTATCTAGAATGGGGAATTTCTGTCATTCATGAGTATCATGGCTTACTTTTTGTTGTTGTAGTTAATAAAGAATCCCTAATTCTTTATAATTTATAATACAGTATAATTTTGTTTTTTAATGCGCATCGTTAGGTAATAATTCTGATGGAATTGAAAACCGGAATGGCACTGCAAGTGCCCTCTTGCACATAGATGAGTCTGCTGGGCTCGGCAGACTGGCTAAACAAAAACCAAAGAAAAGGAGAAGACCTGATTCCAGGCAGTACCAAACAGGTGAGGGCACACGAGTTCCACAGCGCAGCGTGCTTTGCGAGCTCTCAGATGAAACTAGTATGTATCCACAGAGGTGTTGTGATGGCAATTTAGCTGCTAGACCACATGTAACTTTTGCGTATCAAAGTTGAAAATATAATTTTAAGAATTCAGTGATATTCATGAATGATTTTCTTGGATAAAAAGAAACGGAATGGATCGAACCTGGACGGAAATAATGAAAAACTCTGATTTTTTTTGTGTGGAAATGAAAAGAAATCCCTCAAATATGTTACAAACATTAACTTTTTTAAAAGTAATATATTTAAAGAATCTGATTATGTCAGCGTAAAGAGGCATACTTTACAGAGCAGCAGAACAGGTACTTAAGGTCATGTGATGTATTCCTGTCTATTCTTGTATGCCCATTTAAGCTTTACTGTAAGTTGACATAAATTATGTTTTTGGAATAACCAAAGAAGAAATTGTGATTACAACACTTTATTTTTATGAATAATTTCCCACTGATTTCTAAATTGATAATAATAGCTTTAATCACTAGTTGATAGAAGTTACATATTTTGTTACATGTATTGTTTTAAACTGGAGGGAGTGAGGTTGGTACAGTCATACCAAATAAAGTTTGCAGACCAGGTTCCTCTTTATGACAAGGTTGATATATCTATGTTGAAAAATGCTAAAAGGAATGTTAAGTAGCCAATAGCATAACTTAAGAGTATTTGCCCAATAATGTCCAGAACACACCCTTTAAATTCTTGATGAAACCAAAATAGAACTTGGTTTGATCTCTCATGTACCTTTCTTTTCCTTTCTTAGCAATAATAATTGGCCCTGATGGACATCCCTTGACTGTCTATCCTTGCATGATTTGTGGGAAAAAGTTTAAGTCCAGAGGTTTTTTGAAAAGGCACATGAAAAACCATCCTGAACACCTTGCCAAGAAGAAGTACCGCTGTACTGACTGTGATTACACTACCAACAAGAAGATAAGTTTACACAACCACCTGGAGAGCCACAAGCTGACCAGCAAGACAGAGAAGGCCATCGAATGCGATGAATGTGGAAAGCATTTCTCTCATGCTGGGGCTTTGTTTACTCACAAAATGGTGCATAAGGAAAAAGGAGCCAACAAAATGTACAAGTGTAAATTTTGTGAATACGAAACAGCTGAACAAGGGTTACTGAACCGCCATCTTTTGGCGGTCCACAGCAAGAACTTTCCTCACATCTGCGTGGAGTGCGGGAAAGGTTTTCGTCACCCCTCAGAGCTCAAAAAGCACATGCGCATCCACACTGGGGAGAAGCCGTACCAATGCCAGTACTGCGAATATAGGTCTGCAGACTCTTCCAACTTGAAAACGCACGTAAAAACTAAGCATAGTAAAGAGATGCCATTCAAGTGTGACATTTGTCTTCTGACTTTCTCAGATACCAAAGAGGTGCAGCAACATGCTCTTATTCACCAAGAAAGCAAAACACACCAGTGTTTGCATTGCGACCACAAGAGTTCAAACTCCAGTGATTTGAAACGACACATAATTTCAGTTCACACGAAAGACTACCCCCATAAGTGTGACATGTGTGATAAAGGCTTCCATAGGCCTTCAGAACTTAAGAAACACGTGGCTGCCCACAAGGGCGAAAAAATGCACCAGTGTAGACATTGTGACTTTAAGATTGCAGATCCATTCGTTCTAAGTCGCCATATTCTCTCGGTTCACACAAAAGATCTCCCGTTTAGGTGCAAGAGATGTAGAAAGGGATTTAGGCAGCAGAATGAGCTTAAAAAGCACATGAAGACACACAGTGGCAGGAAGGTGTATCAGTGTGAGTACTGTGAGTATAGCACTACAGATGCCTCAGGCTTTAAACGGCATGTCATTTCCATTCATACGAAAGACTACCCTCACCGTTGTGAGTACTGCAAGAAAGGGTTCCGGAGACCTTCGGAAAAGAACCAGCACATAATGCGGCATCATAAGGAAGTGGGCCTGCCATAACAATACTTCTACAGACGTTTGTGGAGATGCAGGCCTTGGAGCAGAAAATTCATCTTAAAGCCAATCAGTCTTGTTCACATAGAATACTGTATATTGATTTATTCTGTGTACAAATAGAGTATTGCTTGTAGTTGACTTTTTTTTTTTTTAACATTTTGTTCAGTAGTGTGTTCTGAATTCTATTCAGTTTGTTTAATTAATGGGGAAAAGCAGCAACAAGCAAGTTGCTTTTAATGAAGTAATCCTTCTATACTGAAATTTTCTATTAGTTTTATATTTATTTAAATATTTACCTTGCTTATTATCTTAATGGTACTCTTCTAAGACCATTTAACATAAAGCTAGGGTAACTTTAGATTGAGTCAACATGATTACTTTCAGAGTAACTATTCCCCCCCCCCATAAATTTCTTACAATAAAATTGTCAGAGACATCTAACATAAATGGGAGATTTAACAGTCACATCCAATTAGGCTAACACGAAAGTCATGTACTTGTCTTGCTTAATCTTTTCAGACCACATGACAATGAAAGTTTCCATTTGAGCTTTGCATCCCTGGCATTGCTGAGTAAAGAACAGTGGGTGGGTTTGTGTTTACTTTTCATATTGTTTAGTGGACAAAATATATCTTTGGGGGGCTTTCTTTGGAGTATTTACATCTTCTGTCTGCATAGCAAAGTCTTAGAAAACTTTATTGACAAATTTTGCTTGATCCTGTTGTATTTTGATTATTCTGTCTGTGCTGCTTTGTCTTGGAATGGTTGTGTGCTACAAATGAGACTTACTGAGGACTGCATTTTGGAATCTCCTAGAGGTAATTTGTGGCTCATAGGATCTTTTGCAACTTTATATATGTATATGTACCCTGAACTATGTATATGCACATATATATATAAAACATGTATCTGTGTGTATTGCTTATTTTACATATTTATACACACAACCCCAAGTAGTAGTTGTTTAAAATCTATAATGAAAAGTATTAAATTTACAATAACATGAAAGATGCAGGGATGTATGAGAGCATTTTGTAAAGCATGCTCTTCAGAGAGACTACTCAGGTGAAGAATTAGAAGGAAAATAAGGACACTCGTATTTTTAAAGAGTAAAGGTATTTTCTTTTAAATATCTTTGGTAATTGAAAAATAGAAGTTAAGATGTTTCTAGATAGAATGTTTTCATACACCTTCAGCTCCATGCCTTTATATTTTTCTGAAAAGTTAACGAGTATCCGGACAGACCTTCCTCAGTTCTCTCTGAGAAGCCCCCGAGGGAACTCTGTGTTACCAAGCGAGGGAGACTAAAGAAGCTATGGCTTCGTGTATCAGAGATCGGGTGCTAATTATGATTTATACTTGGCAAGTTCAGCCTACTCTGTTATTTCTTAGTTGTAGTTAGGAAACTTTCAAACACTTAACGCTCAAGTTGGCTTTGATTAGAACATAACATTAAAGGTATGTTTTAAGTGCATGAGGAAAATCTGATGCCTTATTTGGAATATCACCATGTCTTTCACTGTTTTATTTTTCTTTGAGTTGATTTTTTTTAAACAAATAGTTCAGACTCAGATTTATGAATTCATAAAAGCAACGCTAAAGTTAATTAGAATTTGGTTATGTTAGAATAAATTTTAGAGAGCATAAGACAGTTTTGGGGGGGGGGTCCTTAAATTGGCTGTCAGCACATACGAGTACCTGGCACGTCATGGGAGATTTGGACTTTTCTTCCCACTTGATAGCTGCCTTGCCACTTCATTATGGTGCTCCATCCTCTTCGTGCTTTTAGGTTTTTACCTTTCATCTTTCTCTTTGCCGTTGATCTGTATTCAAGAGTTTATAGGATTAGAACTCTAAATATCGTGTGTTTGACAAGCCTCTGAAGTACTGGATTGATTTACTTCAGTTCTAAGTCGAGTACTTTTAAGCTGGTATGAACTCCAACCTGAATGCCAGTTGAAACCAAGGCATGGGCCTGTCCCAGTGGGAGCTCCTGTGCCCTCTTGGCCTCTATAACGTGCTTTTTAAAAAAAAGTAACTTAAAATTGTGTGATTCATTGCCCTGCAGTACTATTCTTGAAAGCTCTGTTTTTTTGAGAACCTTTAAAATTTCCCTAATTTTTAATTTTTCCCAGAGATAATTTAAAACACTTAAATGAAAGTGGAAATTTATTAATTTTAAAACATCCTATAAAATTAATACAGAAAATATAATTGGTCATTATATTTTTTTAAATAAACTGAAAGATAAAGAACACAGCATTTTACACACTTTATATTTCTCTTACATAGTCTGGAATCATACACAGTTCTTTTCTTTTTAAAGCACAATATTGAAACCTTTAAAAGGTATTTAAGGGTTTGGTCAAGTGAAAATGATAAAATGTATTTGTCTGTATAAAGAGAAAATGAAATTGTAGTCACTGTTATGTACTGACATTAGTTACAACCTAGTTTTACTTAAAACAATTTTGATTAGCAAAGCTAAAAAAAAAATGGATGTTTCAGTTAAATGTTTTAAAGAGGTACAGATTTTTACAAGGACATAATATAAGTTATTGTTCTGTAGAAATATCCTATTAAATATTGTATGTCCCTCCCTCTGTACACTTTGTAAAAAAAGTAAAATACATAAAAAGAAAATCATATAGGGATGTGTGACATTATTGTAATTGTGTACTTGAGAATAATGTGCAAAAATAAAAATCAGAATATTTTCCTGTTACTGAATGTTTAGTCTATTTGATACCAGTACTAAGTTAATGCTTTTTCTTAAGAAAAAAAAAATGTACAGTTTTTGTAAACCTAATAAACATCAAAAGCAGTGGTTTATTTTCATTTCCCCATTTCTTAATTCCTTTTATGCAGCAGTGGAATTCAAAATGCTTGATTGCTTTGAATTTTATGACTTGAATGCAAATACTGATAATATTTCAGCCCTGCGGATTTGCAAGTAATTCAGAGGAGTTAAGAGGTGATTGGTGAGTCCTTTGATGAGCATGTCCTTGAAATTTATTTTTTTCTTTTATCTTCATAAAGGATTTGTTTTATTAGCATCTCCAGTTACCCGGAGATAAATTTCCCTTGCATAAAGTGGTTTTTGAGAGCACTTAAGTTCATTTAGTATCAATGCATTGCACATTGGGTCAGTGGGGGTTGTCCCCATCTCCACCACAGAAATCCTGCCCTAGAGTTTCCCCTTTGTGCCCAGTTTGGAGGGTTCTAGACGACACTAAATACTAGAGAATGGTCATTGTCATAATAAGAGAAGTTAGGTAAAAGTTATCAGGACTTAAAAAAGAACAAGATAGATTTCAGTCATTGATTTTTAAAGATGAGATCGTGCTGATCTTCAACTATGTAGGAATAAGTATTTGCCTAATAGTTGAGACAGTAAATAATAAAAACTTGAGGTAAAGGATCAAGAGGACATGGTGAATGTCACTGTCCAGAGCCATAAATTGGACAGAAAATTGTAGCATGCTGAGAAATTTGGTTGTAATAAAATACCTGACAGATAACATCATACCAGTCTGTGATCCCAGGCAGTGTATTACTCTGTTCTCTGGGAATCTTAGTATTGACAATTTCCTTGAGCTCCCACAAATTCTAGAATTCATATAAAGAAAATCATGACCAAACTCTTAAAGGGTTGCTGTTTCAGAGCAATGATTTTCAAGTGCTGCCAAATTCTCAGCCCTACCCAAGACCCACTGAATCAGAAAACTGGGTGTGGGACCCAGTGATCTTGTGTCTTAACATGTCCTCCAAGTAATTCTGCTGCATGCTAAAGTTTGGGAAATGCTGTTATAGAGCACTTGAGAGACTTCAAAGATTAGAAACACACATACACACAAGCCAGAGATAAGCAGTTAAAGGTGACATGGGACTCAATTTATACCTTGGATTTACCCCTTTTAAAGTGTGAGCCTGTTGGTCAGTGAGTAAATCCTTTAGTCCACATGTAAATAGCCTGCACTTAATCTTGTATGGCTTCCCCTAAGTTACACTCCTCAAAGGTGGATAAGAATTCAGAGGAAGAGTCAGCAAGTAAAAGAGAGGGACTGGAAAGTGTGTATGTGTTTAACTAATTGGCCCAATGTTACTTAAGTAATTCATATCTGAAAACCCATATCTGTAGCTGTTTAGGTAAAGTAAAAATTAACTTTGCCCATTTGGGTTTTGTTTTGTCTTTTGTGTATATATTGTTTGCCTTTTTCATAAAATAATTCTTGGATTTGTTATATATTGTTCCTGTTATTTTTGACATCTGCTATTGTTGTAAATAAATTCCTATTTTGTTTTAAGTTACCCTAGTGGAGTGTTGGCTATAGACAGGGTGTGTGTGTGCATGCGCGCGCGCACACACACACACACACACACACACACACACGGAAATGAAGAAACATAAATCACACGGTTAATAAATTCTTGACACAGTATAAGCTGGAAGTGATGTGACCCCTTTAGTAGTTGAGCACTTCTAGCACCAATGAAAGTATCAGTGTTGCATACAGGTATAACACCTGCACCTGCTTGGACTTTATTTTTTTATTAAAAAAATGTTTTTTATTGATTTCAGAGAGCGAGAGAGAGAAACATCAATAATGAGAGAGAATCATTGATCGGCTGCCTCCTGCACGCCTCACACAGGAGATCAAGCCTGCAAACCGGGCATGTGCCCTTGACCAGAATTGAACCTGGGACTCCAGTCCGCAGGCCGATGCTCTATCCACTGAGCCAAACCAGCTAGGGCACCTGCTCAGACTTAAAAATCACTTTTGTGATCTTTGAGATGGCAATTCTTTTAGTCTATTAAGTTTGAGGTAAAACTCAAGAATTTTTTTTTTCTATTCATTTGGTCCCGTTACTTGTATTGTTGGTATCAGTGAACACGAGGGATTTGGCATTGTAGTGACCTGCTGATACTGTAAAGCCATTAGGATACTTTGCTACAGAAAACTTGCTTAAGAATTGTAGATGGCATTTGTTCATGTAAATTACCACAGAAATATCCAATTGTATTGACAAAAATAGAATAGTTCACTAGACCTATATTATTTTGCTTTTATCTAAGCGAGGCCAGTTTCTGCTTCTTCATGCTGTGTTTGGCTTTAAAAGCAGAACCTGTTTCCTTTTGCCTGGGCATTTTTGAAGTAAGGGAAGGGATTGCAAAGCCATCCGTTGGGATTTTGGAGGTTCTAATTATACCCATCCTCTCTGGGTCCTAACCACATTGAAAATAGACTCAAGAAACCACCAGTTGAGTGTGTGACTTCATTTAGTAAAGCTAGGTTGGGAGATCCAGAGGCCAAATCTGTTTCCTCCCAGTGTAGGCCTCGAGTGATGCAGCCAGTTACTCGAAGGTGTGGGGCCCACCCTCCCCTTAGTGAGCTATAGGGAGACTGCTTAGCTTCCCACCAGAGAAATGGAGCATGTGGGTGAGAATGGCTGCAGTATTCTCCCCAGTGCTCCCAGGCCCAGATTCAGGGAAGGCAGAGAAGAGTTCCCTTATGTCATCCTCATCTACATATATAAAAGGCTAATATGCAAAGTGTCCCCTCGGGAGTTCGACCAGGAGACTGGGAGTTCAATCACTCACTATGATGTGCACTGACCACCAGGGGGTGGTGCGGAACATGGCGGGCGACCAGCGGTGGTGGCGGGGTGCTGAGGGAGCGAGGGAAGCAGAAGGCTGGAACCGCTCCGTGGCAGCACAGGTGGCAGGGAAGAAGGAGGCGGGTAGGAGGGGAACCTGATTGTCCCTGATCTCCGGCCAGGCCTAGGGCCCCTACCCATGCACTAATTTCGTGCATTGGGCCTCTAGTGAAATAATAAGGGTTAGTCCAATTCTGTTGGTCCTCTGGCATTAGCCCACTAGCAAAGTATGAAGGTTATTTACCATTAGCAATTCACACTCCCACAGCAATATATGGGAGGGCCCATTCTTCTCAGTCTTACAAACAGTGGGTGTTAGAGTCAATAGCACGGGTTAAGAAAAGCTCGCTCTCCCGTCATTGTTTCAATCTGTTTTGACCTGGCTCTCAGTGGAGTTAAGTAATATAGTACTTTCATATGTCTAATAGCCCTTTGAGTTTTCTCTATCACCTGTTCAAATCCTGTGGTCCATTTTCTCTTTAGAGCCTTTTGTACATTTGGCCTATTAGCTTTCTTTTTTCCCCTTTTGATTGAATTTATTAGGGTGACACTGGTTAACAAAATTATACAGGTTTCAGGTGTACAGTTCTACAACACATCATCTGTATGTACACTGTACTGTGTGTTCACCACCTCAAGTCAAGTCTCCTTCCATCACCACTATTAGCTTTCTAATATGTTTGTTGCGTATTTTTCTAGTCCGTGATTTATCTTGTTATTGTTTATGTTGCCTTTTGATACCCCCAAATCTTTAATATTTGTTTAATCAAATATATGTCTTCCCCCCCTTTATGATTCCTGGGGTTTCTTGTCCTACTTAAAAAGGCCTTCTCTACCCCAAGGCTCTTTATAAATATGTGCCTAGATTTTCTTCTGGTATTTTTATTATTTTAATTTGTTTGGATTTTCATACAATTAAAATTATTTTGATATATGATTGTGTGGTTTTTTTTGAGAGAGAGAGGAAGAAGGAGGGAAGGAGAGAGAAAGGGAGGGAGAGAGAACTTTGATTGGTTGCCTCCCATATGTGCCCCAGTGGGGAATTAAACCCACAACATTTTCGTGTACAGGACAACACTCCAACCAACTGAGGCATCCAGCCAGGGCTGGATTATAGACACAAAGTTTTTTCTTTTTTTCTTTATTTTAATATATCTTTATTGATTTCAGAGGGGAAGGAAGAGGGAGAGAGAAACATAAATGATGAGAGAATCATTGATTGGCTGCCTCCTGCACGCCCCCTACTGGGGATTGAGCCCACAACCGGGCATGTGCCCTTGACCGGAATCGAACCTGGGACCCTTCAGTCTGCAGGCTGATGCTCTATCCACTGAGCCAAACCGGTTAGGGTAGTTTTTCTTTCTTTTTAAAAAAAGTCTTCAGTAGAGGCTCCTATCTGTCACTAAGGTTCTTGGTGTAGGAAATAATGTTGGGACCCTTACATTCCTCACTCATTAGATTTTTACCCTATCGCTGGGGACACTAAGATTCACCAGCCCTGTGACAGGCAATGAACCCCTGGCCCTGTTTAGACTGGGTAATAGCTTCAAGCTCCTGAGAGCTGCAAAAGAGCTGGGCCCAAGACATGAGCACAGTGGTATGCTCTTTCCTTAACATGAACACAGGCCCTCGAGTGGGGGAGGGGTGAAGGAGTAGGAGAAGAGGGAGCCTAATCCCAATGGAAAAATAGGAGGCTGCACACAAACTGTGACTAAGTATTTGTAAGACTACAGCAAGTCCTTGGTTAACATCGTGTTATTGCAACTGGGACAAAATGACATATAATGAAACCAATTTTACCACAGGCTAATTGATATAAACAACAGTTAAGGCCATCTCATCAATGTTTTATAATGAAAGGAGACATTTGTTAAAGAAACATTCACACCTATAAAGAATTTTTGTGATTTTATTTGAGCCAAACTGTCGACAATTAACTGGATGGAGATAATGCTCCAGAGAATGGCAGTTTTTCACCTTGTTTTATCATACATTACAATAAAAAGAGGAGACTTAAATGGGTTACAAGAAATCCATTAATGATATCCAGTGGTAGAAAGCAAAAGCGGGGGAGAAGGGGAATCCCTGGGATTGGGTAAAAAGTAAAATGATAGGCACATACTTCCTTTACACAGGTGGGTACAGGATAGTTAACAGTTAACAATTACCTCAATAACAATAACAATGGGTGTGCCCTGGGGGGTCTGGAAAAGGGGAAGTTACAAATTACCCTGACATTTCACAGGTATGTTATCTTAGATGCAAAAAGTCAATAGGCTCAGTAAAGATCGAAGTTGATCTTTGTCAGGACGATACTGGCCTAGACATGACCACCCACTATAAACTGCTTTTTAATTAAAGGTTTTAATGTCAGACCATCCTTTGTGGTTCAGATCTTTGAGTTTGCAAGGCTCCACACGGGCCTTCGCTGACTTAGCCAGGCTAGCATGCGGCCCCTTTTCGTCCACACATTGAACAAAGCAATGTTATTTGAGGACCTGCTATCTCAAACTTTCACTTCTCCCAGGGGTTCTCTCTGGATAAGAATCCTTCCTTGAAATTATCATCCCCTCAGCAATCTTACATGTTGGTTTCTGTTGACAACATATAAGTCTATACTTTTCAGTTTTTGTAATATTTTTTTTTAAATCCTCACCAGAAGATATTTTTTTCCATTGATTTTTTAAGAGAGAATGGAAGGGAGAGGGAAAGACAGAAAAAGACACCGATGTGAGAGAGACATCGATTGGTTGCCTCTCACATGCCCCCAACCAGGGCCTGGAGTCCTGCAACTGAGGTACGTGCCCTTGACTGGAATCAAACCCAAAACCCTTCAGTCCACAGGTTGACGCTCTAGCCACTGAGCCAAACTGGTTAGGGCTTGAATTCTTTCTTATTCATCTCCTCTATCTATATTGTGTCTACTATAATTCATCAGTGAAGTGCTTACACCAAGCATGTCAAACTCAAAGGCTAAC